TTGTAGGCAGGTTAAATGCAGGGTGATTATGTCATTTCTTAAAAATCACTTGAACAAGGCTTCATATGTATTAGGGACCTTTTTCTTCTCGTGATATTATATGCACATTTTTGTTAAATTTGATCATGCTAAGGGGGCTAGAATTTGGTTTATTTATACAAACACATTATGATAAATAATTGTTACACTGCTTAAAAGAATAGAACTGTACTTGAGAGTCACTCAGTATCGCTGAACATGTCTTTTTTTCCAGAAATAATGAAGAAGTCCGAGTGTCAGTCAGAGTGCCAATTAACTGTTCAAGTCTGGGAGAAAGCCAGCTGGGAGAAAATGACAGTTATCCTGAGAGCAAAATGATGTAAATGCCATGCAGGGAAAGTTTGTAAACTTGTGAATCAAAGCAAGTTTCTTAAGATGCAATCACAGTCAATTTTTACAGTGTATTTTTTCTCAAATCTATAAACTTTCCTGGATCTTAAGTTCTAATTTGCTGACATTCGGGAAATAGTGCGTGATTTTATTCATAATATGTTTGTCTTTTGTTCTAACCACTTCAATTATATGTAATAATCATATAAAATGTAAAATATGATGAAATATTAAAATAAATATTTTTAAACTAACTACATTTGTGCATTAAATTAGTATTTCAAAGCAGCATTTATTACGATATCAGCTTTTACTGTTTTCTACATTTCTAAATGTCTGTCCTGGGGACAGGACATTATTAGATAATGAGACTGTCCTGGGAACAGGACTTTCCTGGGATTATAGATTGTCCTAGGAACAGGACATTCCTGAGATTATGGGATGTCCTGTGAACAGGACATTCCTGGGATTATAGATTGTCCTGGGAACAGGACATTCCTGGGATTATGGGATTGTCCTGGGAACAGGACATTCCTGGGATTATGGGATTGTCCTGGGAACAGGACTTTCCTGGGATTATAAGACTGTCCTGAGAACAAGACATTCCTGGGATAGCAGAGCAATATTTTTTTCCTGTTTTTTCCTGTCTTCAAGAAATTCCTGGGATTGTCCAGTCCCATTTAACGGCGTGAAAAAAATCTCAGGATTATCTCAGGAAATCCTGGGATTTTTCCAGGACAAATTCCTGAGACTTCTCAGGAATTCCTGGGATAGTCCCAGGACTTCTTGTTCATTTTCTGCACGGGTACAATTTATTTTTTCCTGTTAGAGTCTTTCTGACTAAATTGTATACTGATAACTTAAATTTTAATTGAGCTAGGGTAGTTTAATTGATTAAATTATGGATGTGTAAATTTAACATCTACCCTGCAAGTGGCAACTGATTCTACCCATGTGACCAATACTGACTGAAAAAATAAGTCAGCACAGTCATCCTGTTTGCTTTTAAGTCAATACTTCCCTTAAACTTATGAATGGTTTTGTCCAGATTGAATATGGACAAATCTATTTTAGGTATTTAGCATGGTAAGGGTGATACATAGTAATTTCTCCTTGAAGGTAATACATGATATCTATGGAAGTTTGAGTAATGAGTTTAACCGTGATATTTGGCGCCCAGTGTCGGCTGTGATGGTATAAGCTCAGAGTCCAATTTTACATTGTTCTCTGTACCCATTAGAATTTCGAGGACAAATTTCAGTAAAGCAGTGGAGTATGTCAAGGTTCAGAACTGAGATAGTGTGTAATTGGCCGGATAGTTCAGTCGGTAGAGGCACGGTACAGTATGCCCTGGGTAATGGGTTCGAGTAAAAAAAAAATTAAAAAAAACAACATTTTTTTCTCCAAATCATAGCTTTTGATCACCTTTTCTTCTGTAAGGAAAGAAAACTTGTAGATGCACGTCTAAAATTTTTTTTATTTGTTAAAATAAATACATGGGGAGAACAGGATAATGTGTTTTACAACCAGGCAATAAATACCTAAAACAGTGTCAAATAGTTATAAAAGTCAACAAAAACATCTTCAAGATCAATATTTATTTTGTAGGATACATACAAAGAAGTAATAAATAAAGTGACTTTGTTTCCCTTTTGTATCAATGGACTATCCTAATTCAGAATTTTTATATCACATTCTAGTGTCAGGTCTGTCCAATTCCCAACCATTAGTACCATTACCTCCGCATTAAAACTTAATTTTAGGTTATAATTGTATCATGAAACCATTCAAATAACACCTTAAGCATAAATGTAATTGGACAATTGATATGTTGTTACCCATATTTCAAGAATAGTGAGATTGTAGGATAAGGAAAATAAATGAGTCAATTATTATGTTAATTCTAAACTGTCTATGTTTAACTTAAATGATGGGTAAATTTCATTGGCAGAAAAATAAATTTGTAATGCTTTTTATTATGTTGTAATATTTTGTTATGTTAAATTGTCTGTCTAATCCATAACAAACCATTATGATGATGGTGGTGATGGTGGTGGTGATGATGATGATGATGATGATGATGATGATAATAATGATGAAACAAAGATGTGGGAAAAAAAATGGAATTTTGTATCCAATGAATGAACATTTTTGAGCACCAATACATATTTTATGTGTTAAATATAATGTTTTTCTATAATAATTATGATTTTGGGTTACAAACTGGTTAAAATTCAGATGGAGTTACCTTTTTCTATATTTAAAATTTCAAGTGTCAAAATAATGTACCAGTAAGATAGAGAGAGAATTTGAAATAACAGTATTTTCTCAAATACTTCCTTATTTGACTTTCTTACTTGTAATTCTTCTCCCAACTTGTATCAAATTTAATATCCATGAATACTCTGTTTAGATAAAGTTTTTCAAATAAGTTAATTTTTTTTGTGTGTTTTATGAAAAGCAAACATGGTGCTTTAAATAAACTCTGCTTTTGATTACCAAATTATTAATATAATTATGTCCCTCATATTGATAGTGGCTAATTTTGTTAATGTAACACAGTTACAAGAACCAAGCCAGATTGACCAGGGTCAATACTTCTTGCTACACACATTTAGTATTTGATACTATATTAGATTGTCAAATATATCTTTTACTTTTAGGTCTTGATCAGGTAATAACAGTGCTTTGTTAGGTTCCAAATTCAAAACAATACAAGTCTGTTCATAAAAGTTACAATGGGGAGTTCATTATTCAAAAGGAAACATATCTGTTTAATTGATAATTCTTACTTCAAAATAAGACTAATCTGTTTAATAGCTGATTTCAAATTCTAAACAGGACAAATCTGTTCATTAAAGTAAAAATAAATAATTCCAAATTTAAAACAAGACAAATACAGTTGCATGTAAGCTTGTTCCAAAATTTCTAAAAAAACCTAACTCTGATGACCAGAAGAGGTTTAAAGATCCAGTTAATAACACATTGGGTGTTGAATTATTCATAATTTTATATAAAAGAATTCAGTCGGACCCTAAAGTTTTAGAAAAATCTCTAATGACCTTGGTCGGGCACAGCCAGAAGTATTTGAATACAATAAATATTATATGACATAGAGGGTAATATATCATTGTATCTTATATAAATTTTCATGCACTGCCATGAATAACATGAATACAGGCACAATGGTCTTATAGTGGTAGCAATGTTTGACTACAACTCCTGTGATCATGAGTACCATCAATGTCTACTTCAAGTCACTAAACAGAACTTCTGACTTTTTAAAAAAAAAATCAGGTCCTGTCTATAGGGGGCGTTTACACCTTAGTTTATACAAATTTCTCTTAGTTTGATTGTGTTGGTAGCTATAAGCTTATTAAAACATAACAAATTAATTCCTGGAACCAACTAGTACCAAGCAATTAGTGTAAAGATTCTTGCTCACACAAGCAATAACTTGCCCCTGACAGGGTTTGAACCCACATGGCCAGTAATCCTTAGATACCAGAAATCCACACCTTGGATATTGTAGAATCAGTAGTTTCTTCTGGAATGTAGCAATTTCTTCATCAGTTATATCGTACTCCAAAGAATAAATTTTTTTAACTGTCATTTCAGAATGGGCGGCCCATACATGTTTCCTTTGACGACTATAAACAGATGTACATAATGTATATCCCTCATAAATTATGATCATAGTCCTCATCAATAAACTGTCAATATTCAAGCAATATTTAAATAGGCAGAGCTTTTTATTAGCTGTTTTATGAAAACACTTAACAGACATTGTCATTACCAGATATAAATGAAAAACGTTTTGAGTGGGCATTGAAATATTTCTTTCTGAGATATTGTCTATTTATTCAGGAATTTTATTCATCTCAGTTTTACAATGTCATGCATCAATATTAACTTATGTTTAATCTTTTAACTAGCGGGATAAAAATGATTTTAATGTTTGGTTTAAACTGATTCCTTTCACTTAGATTGTTATGAAAGCTTGAGCCCGACTTTTGCAAATATCTTTACAATGCCGCCTTGATCAGGTGATAATAGTGTCATCCACCGTTCTGTCATGCCTTAATAATAAGTTAATAGGTTCTAACCTATAATTGACTGTGTATTCATTTAATTGTTGGGTTTTAAGTAAAACCAGCACTGTAATGGTCAAATAGTAACTTTTCAGCTTTACTGGTGGAGGAAGAACTCACATGCCAGTTCATGCATTTTTTTAGCTACAAACAGGAAACCCAAGTAGAACCACCAACCTGCTCAAAGTCAACTGGATAGCTACTTCACATTAAAGAATCCTTTATGGGATTTGAACCCACTGAAGTAAGAAAACAAGCCATGTAAAATAAGTGGCTTTCAGAAAGTTTGCTGGCTGGTCTCGCATGAATTAATCCAAAGTTCCTAATGAGATTCAAACCCACAGTGGTAGGGGCAAGTGAATTGAAGTCAAAGACCTAAACCTCTACCACAGAGACCCCTTGACTGGCAGCAGAAGTGACCTTGTTGCCTTATATTACTTCTACATATAAACTTGTTCTTTGATCAAATTCAATACAAAATAATTATATGTCTCCAAGTCTGTTTTAAAATCTGTACAAATTTTATCTTTTTTTTTTCAGTGAGCGAGCTGACCCAAGTTCTAAACCTGACTTTAGAAAGAGGCTAACTGAAGGGGCAAATATAAACAAATCTCTAGTCACCCTTGGTTATGTTATCAAAGCATTAGGTAGGTATCTTGTCATAATGATAATTTGTTATATTTTGTGAACTTTTATGTGCCTATCATGATTCAGTATTAAAATGGTACACCGTACATTTATTGCATAGGTTGACTTCTTTATAGGAATCTCCATATCTCTATAATTCTTTGAACATCATCACTCGTAGCAATGTTTGTCATGGTCTATGAAGGGGATTTCAAGTAAGGGGGAGGGGGGCTTTACTGGTTGGTTAGTTAAAATTGATAGCTTCCAACTATTTTTTCACCAGAATGATATGCCCTTGATTTCCAAAACTTTCAGTGTGTAGGTTTAACTAAAATCCCTTTGAACTGATAGAATTCCAAAATTGTCTTTGTTGAACTTTGTTCAAATTCATTTGTGCTTATGAGACACTTTAATTTTGTTCACCTAGTGCTTTTGCAGTGCTATTCAGTCATGCATTGAGGAGCTTAAATGGAGGACATGATCGCAATCACCTTTCACCATTATAAAATCGAGGATTTCGTTCCTTTAAATTTCTTTCTCCTTAACACACTTTTCTATTTACATTAAATGTTTGTTTTAATAAAAACGATTGATAAATGACATTGTCAGAGAGATAACTACTTGATTATACGTATATTTTAATAAAAACTGGGATACAAAACTGCCTTTCAAACCTGATAATGTGGTGGTACTTGTACCCGTAATCTTCCGTCAGAAATACGAGGAAAGATAAATATTCTACAGATATTGACAGTATTCTTTCAGTAAAGTATGATAAATAGATTTCTTGTTTAATGTTCAGGTTATGAAAGGTCTTATGGGATACAGATTACAAAAATGAAATATCTAGTGCTTAAATTTTTTATGCTCATTCTATGATAATTAATGCCAGAATTGTATTGATTGATTTTGACATTTCTATTTATAAATGATTTCAATACAGGCGGGGAAAGGGGAGAAGTTTCTGTCAAAGAATTAATTAAGAATTAATCATTATGCATAAATTCATTAATAGACTAAAATTAGTTTGTTGACAGTAGTATTTCTATTTATTTTAATGTCTTTGCCCACAAAAGGCAATAAAATGAGTCAGGGATGCATTTTCTGGTGGAAATTGATTGAGATATGTTAATTTTATTTGGATCATTAAACAAATTTTTATTGCTTTTTTGAAAACATTATTTTTATCTTATCTCCATATTAGTAAATAAATTTTTGCTTGAAGGAATTAATTAAACATTAGTTTGTTAATTTAAACATAAGTTAAAGTTAATGGATATGTTTATTTAAATATTTATATCTTAAATATCCAGCCTAAGGGTTGCCGGTTATTCTTTGTTTGTAAAATTATTGAGATTTCATCAATTTGTTGTATATACCTTAAGGTTATTTATCTGAATGTTTCCTTTCTTTTTATTGTTGATTTTATTTTTTAAATAGCCATATGCTTATTACAAATAAGGAAAAATGAATACTGCCCTGACTTAAACGCATGCATATAATTTGTTCTGAATATACTTGACATATACATTGTGAATTTTATTTTTAAAAGAGAGAAAGTATATTGTTAGAATTACAAATAAATTGGAAAAAAATGAGATGACTGCATGTAGTAAAAAAAACACAAAAACACAAAAAACAACAAATGTTTCATAGAAATATATTCCACTTTACAACAGGCTATATACTATTTGGGTTATTGCCCTTGTAGTGTATTTAAATGTCCATGTTTGCAAATGGACTTACCTCTTTCCTGTTTGGCAGGGGATTTAGCTGTCTGTGACTTCTTTAATTCAGTTTATATTAGTAAAGTAGAGTGAATATTGACAGGAAAAAAAATTCAAACATTATTTTGCAACTGAAATATTTTGGTGTATGATTTAGAAATTTATATTCAATATTATTATCTCTTTATTATCTCTTTACATATTTTTTCCAAAGCAAAGGCTTAATGGCTGTTGCTAAATTAAAATGTAATTTATATACATACAAGGACATGTTTAAAAAAAACTTTTGTACCAGCTGTCTTTATGAATAATCTTCCTACATTTAATTCTGTTAAATCAATTTCAACTTAACAATACAAAATATAAAGTAGCTTTTAATGGAATATTGGTTTAAACATATTTATTTAATCTCAATTGCGAAACAAGTTCTTGCAACTTATATTAATCACTTTCAAGTCCACTTCCTGGAACTGACCGGCGCTGGTGTAAAGAATCATGGTCACGAGAGGCAGACATTATAACCGCTAGGCCACCACTCCCCTAAGTATGTCCCGTTGATATGTCCATTTATTTATTAATTTTATTTGTTGAGGAAATAAAGTTTTATTTAGAGTGTATCATAATAATTGATTAAACATGATTCAAAGTACCAATCCTCAATAATAATATAATTAAGATAAAAAAATTGTTAGCTGAGAGAGGCTAATGCTTATAACAAATTAAATCACTCGCACCATCCTTGCACTGTGGGTATAAATCTCGCTGAAGGCATTGAACACTTTGAGGAATCTATCCATCTAGTTAATGGCAATCTGTGCATGCTTGTGCCTCAAATGATGCACTAGTGGAACCTGAAGGACATTAATGGTGACATGTCAGGGGTCTGAACTATCAGTGCCTGAAAGGGCGGATGGACCCTTATTAAGCACACACCTGAGGTCTTCTTTAATCAGGAATGCTGGAAAGTGGTCATATGACCTAAACAATGTCACTGAGTTTTAAAAACCAACCATTTTGAGTGAGTTTAAACCAGTTAAAAAGGTCAATAACATATTGTGCTTTATCAAATGATAGAAAACGTAAAGGACTGGTTTAGAGGGACCAACAGTAAAGTTAGGTACATGTAATTAAATTCATTAAAGGAAAAAAAACTGAACTACATGCTGTGAGCAAAGTTATTGCTTCAGCATATGGTCAAAATAATGATATGATGGCATTAAAACTTTCATGGAGTGACTTGACCATAATATAACATTAATATAACTTGCTAGGTATATCTTAATAGATAAAAGAAACTTGTATAAAATATATTTAATGATAAGATATGATGTAAGCTGTTGTGTAAAGAATAAAACATGCAGCTTTGGACCAAAATAAATCCAACTGAAACACAATAAACTCAAAAGAATTCCAATAAAACACATTGAACCCAAATGAATTCCAATGAAACGCAATGAACTCAAATGAATCCTAATGAAACACATTGAACCCAAATGAATTGAACCCAAATGAATGCCAATGAAATCTAATAAAAATGAGGTAAAAAAAAGTCTGTTTGTATATTTTATGTTATGAGCATTCTGTAAAGGAAATCATATAATTTAATCAAAAGAGAACATTGCCTATTTTTATGGTAAATCAACATTATTGTTTGTTGAATGACGATGAAAAAACTATGGTATGCTATTTGAACAGTTGTTATATCACCGATTAAAAATATTGTTGCGAGCTGTTCTACAGAAATGATCATAGGAAGTTTTGTGTACTTTCACAAATTGTTTGCAAATATTTGTATAGATTTAATATAGTTAGGAATACGGCTGTATAGGGAAAATGGATACAAAATGTTTGCATTTGTTGCGCATACATTTAGAGTCACTTTGCACAACGTATCTAAATATTGAAGTATTGCTCTATTGAAAAACGAAGGCTTGAAAAGACTCAGCATTCTGCTTGAGTTTACAATTTACAATATAGTAATATTTTACATAGATTATGCTTGTTTTGGATCTCTCTATTTAGAACATTTTCTGACAGGAAGGATTGAGTTTGAAGAATGACTGGGCAAAAAATTTACTGTATATAAGACCAAAAGCGAATAATTATTAGGTGTCCATAAACAAATATTAAACAGACTCTGTTTCTTTTGAATTTTTTTCTGCAAGCCCTGAAGCAACTAAGATAAGGTTCAAATTCCATAGGAGCAAGCTCTTGTTTTCTTGATCAAAAGATACACTCATTGCTTAGTACTGGTTGGTTCCTGCAACTGATTTGAGAGTGTGTCTATAAGGTTTTAACAGTTTTAAATTTCTACCTTATTTAACTAAAAATTCTGTATAAACTAAAACAAGCAAATAAAGCATATCATGGCAATCAAAAAAACTGTATATTCTCACCTTAGTGCAGTAATGAGATAACTCCTTATGAAATTGAATGAGAGTTAACACATTACTGCATTAAGATGATGATTTATGTGGTTTACACATCGGGCTAGTAATCTCCCATGAGTTCAAACCCCATCAGGGGCAAAGCCATTGCTTCCTTGAGCAAGAAACTGCACAGTTATTGCTCAGTACTGTTTGGTTTCAGGAACAACTTTAAAAGTGTGTCTATAAGCTTATATTCTGTAAAAAATCAAAAACAAAACGGCTAGGAAGTTCTGCAATTAAATTCCAATGAAAGAAATATCAAAAGAAACATGTATATTTCTACCTACCTATTATTTTTAGCAGGTTACAAGAACATCAATATTATTTCATTCCGGACTAATGTTTCCTTTATATATATATGTATATAAATATTGTATTTGACTAAGCATGACAAAATTATGTTCTAATTATTTAGTACTTGTACTTGTGAAAATGTTATCTTAAGCAGAAAAAATCAATGTAAAACACATTGTTATAACCATTATATTGTATTGAGGGTATATGTATGTAAAAACTCCTTTTTAGCTCGACTTTTCTATGAAAAGGGGAGCTATCCTACTCGCCCCGGCGTCGGCGTCGGCGTCGGCGTTGGCGTCGGCGTCGGCGTTGGCGTCACACCTTGGTTAAGTTTTTCGTACCACCCCACTTTATTTCAGAAGTATTACAAGTATGGCTTTGAAACTTACCATACTTGTTCACCATCATAACCTCCATCTACAGACAAGAGTACATAACTCTGTCAAGGTTTTTGACAGAATTATGGCCCTTTTTTGACTTAGAAAGTGTATTGAGCTTGGTTAAGTTTTTTGTACCACCTCACTTTATTTCAAAACCATTGGAGGTATTGCTTTGAAACTGACCATACTTGTTTACCATCACGACCTTCATCAACAGACAAGAGGACATAACTCTGTCAAGGTTTTTGACAGAATTATGCCCCTTTTTGACTTAGAAAATACATTGAATATGGGTAAAATCCACTTATTGCCTTAACCCTTTGAGATATTGCTTTGAAACTTTTAATGCTATTTCACATCATTACCCCCATCTGTACGCAAGAGAAGGTAACTCTGTCAAGGATTTGTTTTAAAAATTAAGGCCTTTTATCGACTTAGAATCTTGGTTAAGTTTTTTAGTACCAGTCCACTTTTTGACTGAACTGTTTGAGATATTAATTTGAAAGTTGGAATACTTGTTTACAATCATGATTCCCAAACATGTCCAGGAGAAGGTAATTCTGTCAAAGATTTTATTTGAATTATGGCCCTTAACTGTCAATGTTTTGTATTATAGGCAAGCACTAAAAAACTTAAAAAATCTAAAAAAATTCATTCCTATCCACTTGTTCACTTTACCATAAATTATGTCATATAAACATTGCTGTAATATTCAAGGGTATCAAACAACTAGTTCACTTTAAAAATACAGAGATTCTTGTATTGCCTTTTACTGCAAAAACTTTTTTTATTGGCAAGCAATAAAAAAGTCGAGCGCGCTGTCTTACGGACAGCTCTTGTTATGTAGGATTTATGGAGCAAAATTGCTATACGCATGTATGAATCGGTTTCTTATATCTGTAATGCAAAATATTCTGTAAAAAAATTCTTCAATAGATAAATATTCTATCAGAAAATTCTGTAAGAATATTTTCAATTAAAGGGGTTTATCTTTATAGTTGTACTTGGCTTTTGCCATCTCTTATGTAAAGTTAAATACAATGTACATGTATGTAAATATACATGTATCAAACATGGTATTTGCCACTAAAATAATTTTACATTAGAAGTTCATGTTTTTGCACAGAATATTGCATTTTACCAGTATTTTATATACATGTATTTCATTTACTGTTTCAAACAGTTATTTTGATTTAGGTTCATCAGTTTTTTGGACTTTCTTTTCATTCTTTATAAGAAGCATAAACTAATTTGTATCACCAATTCTAAGGTCAGATCCCTGTAAAATATCAGTACATAATATAATCAAGTGATTTTATTCCAATGTTAATATTTAAGAGGTTAGCAAGTGACCCTGTAACTAACTAAAACTGCAATATATAAAATATACTAAAGATATAATGACTTGCTTCATGTTTCTCTATTTTACCTATTACAGCTGAGCGTTCCCTTTTATCATGGTCTCCAGGGGAGATGGGGTCCACTCAGAGTTTTCACAGTAGTGGTGGAGGGGAGACAGGTGCAGGTTTGAGTCCTGCGGGTCCCAACAAACAACGTGTGCCATATATACCATACAGAGATTCAGTCCTGACCTGGCTCCTGCGAGACAGCCTGGGAGGGAACTCCAAAACTATAATGATAGCAAGTTAGTATTAGCATCACTATGAGCAGTGTACCTTTACTTACATTCTACTGCTCATATTTTGTGAATAGATACTCTGCCCACTTAGCTCAATAGGTAGGGCATGAGATTTGTAATCCAAGAGTTGCTGGTTCAATCCTCTGGAGAGGCAAAATTGGAGTCTAATGTCTCTTGCTGCTGATTCAGGAATCATGTGGAATTAGTGACTGAGTTGCAGAGAAATTTACAATTACTGGTCAGTTATCAAAAAAAAAAACTGGTTAATTGGATTGATATGCTCCAAAAAGTTGTAAAAATCAGTGTAAAAAAAACGGATAAGCAAACAAACATAAAATTGTAAATAAATAAGTGTATCTTATGATATTTTTTCTTTAAATTGACTTTGTATTTTCAAAAACACTAAAGAATGGTAATTTAATTACTTTCATCTCTAAGTAATTATCATTATAAAGCTGAATTATTTTCTGTAATCTAAAATAAGAATAATATAAATGTTAGAGGTTTATCATTCCTTACTGTCAAGCATTTTAGGTAAACATATTTTTATTATTACTTGTACATGTATTTATTAACATTTTTTCAGCAATAACTCCAGCTAGTCAGTACTACAGTGAAAGTATCAGCACGTTACGATACGCCCAGCGAGCTAAAAATATCATCAATAAACCAAGAATCAATGAGGTAAAATATAATTACAAATTTTATTCTCTAAATTTTGAAAGTTTGTAAAGAAGTGTCAATAATGTAAATGGTTTAAATATATTTATTTAAGAATAATTGTGAAACAAGTTCTTGCAACTGATATTAATCACTTTCGAGTCCGTTTCTTTCAACCAACAAGTACTGGTGTCATATGAAGACACATGGTTGTGACCCGATTAGGCTTGAACTCATGACTTTGGGTTGAGAGGCCGACACCTTAACCACTAGGCCACTGCTTAATAATGTAAATGGTCTAGTTAAAAGAAAAGTTTTCATAATTGAAAAGTGGTTCTGCCAAATTTTTACCTGGTGCCCAGAGATTGACCTACCATTGAAGCCCGAATGAAGCCTTATGTTCTTTACAGTGTGACTTGAAAGAAAAAAACTTGATAAAAAAAATAATTATAAAGATTTTTGGTAAAAAATCTTGAAATAAATGGCTTTTTCAAACAATATTTACTTGTTATTGTAACAAACTTTTTCAAATGATACAAGGGAGGTAAAATCAGCGATGATTTCATCAAAGAAAAAAATGGTAATTCCCCTTTGTTACCATATAGTGTACTTATCTATGTTAATTTTTCTGACCATAATTTCTGCTTTCAGGACACTAATGTGGCTCTTATAAGAGAATTACGTCAGGAAATTGAACGGTTACACAGAATGTTAGCAACAGCTCAAATGGTAAATATTATCAAAATAGATGACATATATAATATGTGAGGCATGCAGCCCAGAATTGTTTTAGATCTAGTACACGTTTAGTGTGCAGTGCGTTTTCTGCTTTTGCACATACATGGTAGTTTTAAAGAGGCAAACATCCAGATGTAAATTAACAATTGTTTTCTCATCATTTACCAAGAAAGGTAACAGATTTAGATTAGATATTACATATTTAATGTCATGAAATTCCTTCAGCAATACACACATAAAAGTGAACAGGGCAAGACCATTATATAACTTTGTTCAGCCATTTTATAGGAAGCATTTTATCCTTGACTTCTAATTTACTACCTTTGAAAAAAAAAAAAAAAAAGACAACACAGTCCTAACCCCCCCCCCCCCCCCCAAAAAAAAAAAAAAAAAAAAAAAAAAACGCAACAAAAAAACCACATTGAAACAAACAAACTTATATGGTCTGGATGTATGCTCCTTGAAAAATAATCATAAAAAGAGCTTTGATTTACAAAGGTTTTCAAATTCATTGATATTAAAATTGGGATTGAATATTTTTACAGTATTATTCTGAGTAAAAGATCTACAGAGGTAAATTATATGGAATTATGAGAACATATTATTATAGCCTATAAGATAGTTAGATTAATTTAAATCTAAAAAATATTTTTTCAAGTATTAATACTGCATTTTTTTGTCTAATACTTTCTTCAACCCAGGTAGCAAACTGTTCATATTGTTAATTGTCTTATGATAGATTATTTCAGATTTTTATAGAAAAATTCATTCTGTAGAATACAAGATATGCATGTTCTTGTTAAACTTACTAACCATTCTAATACAGTTTTTTTGAAAATTAGGATGATGCATTCACTGTATATCATCTATGTTTCTACATTTTATACAATTCACATTGTTTTCAGCCTGCCTCGCATCTAGGACCGAGTTATTTGCCCGGAGATATTATATATTTTGTCCCTGATTTACACAGGGGTCAAGACGACCCTAATGATCAACAGGTATTTAGCCGTCATGGCTGGCCACTGTAGATACCTAACTCTGGTGTATACTAGATGAATTTATTTCATTATATGTGTATCAGCATGTTTATATGTTACCAGCTATAGGTTAGAACATCTGTTAACTCTTAACTTGCTGGAATTGAAAGGGTTTTTTTTTCAGATTTTTTTCACTATACAAAACATTTGTAGAGATTTAAGAGAAACAAAACATTTTTTTTAGGATTCTACAAAGATTATATAGAAAGTAATTCATTAGTATTATTGAAAGTTACCTACATTTGTATTAGTATTTGCCCTTTCCAACTTGCGCAACCAGCAAATTCATCAATTATAATACATTCAGCAGAAGGGGTACAATGACCATAAAATAGTTTGAATGTCCTATTTACAAAATGATTAGAATTGTATAGAAATTGATATAATTTTTTGAAAACTTTAATAGTAGATTTTTTTCAATATAAGTGAGTTTGTCTTATTTTCCCCAAAAAATTTTTTCCCTGTAAATTTGATATTCCATGTGATTTTAGAAGTAAATACTCTTATTTCTTATCTTTTTACCATATTTATTATTAAGTTCTCATTTTGAAAGGTGAGATCTGTCAAAAGATTTTCTACCTTATAGCTGATGATTTTATTACTATTAACATTTTATATCATGCACAAATCCTGTATGTTTGAATATGTAGCCATCACATGTTATTTTGTAGAAATGATATTATAAACATGTTTTGATAGAATGTCAAAAGATCGCACCAAATAGAATTTGTATGTAAATTGTTCAAGATGCTTTGTAACAATTAAATTTCATTTGTAAGCTAACATAAAAGCAACCAATCAAATTTAAGAAAACTTGTGTGGTTCAGCACTTTTAAGAACAATTTGACTGGTTAAGTGCTTTTTTGAGCCCATCCTTGGGGTCAATAGTAACAAGTTTGACTAGTAATCCAGGGGTCGACTGTTCAAAACCACACCACCCACTCTATCCATAATAGTCTATCATATGAGAACTTAAAAACTAAGGCCCCTTGTTTCAGTCCTCTTAACCAGACATGTAGAAGGACCAGGGTTGCCTCTGAAAAGGGCTGTATCATTGCACTACCATAAAATAACAACTGGCTCATAAAGGATGTCACAATATGTGCAACAGAGTCTCAATGTAAATAATCTACATACAATTTAGTGCATTAAGAACAATTTGACTGAGTTCAGTGTTTTTGTGAGATCTTTTGACAATCTGCATGATATGTTAGATTTATCATAAACAGAGACAGTTATATTGAAAAATCTAACAAATGTAGCATATGAATATATGTATAGGAATGATTGAAAAGAAAGAAATATATAGCTTGATTATTCAAAGGATATTAAGTCTGTTCTGCTCACCCTGGCATAACCATTGAAGGTATTCTCATGAGTGTGACAGCTCTTTGTAAGTGGTTTGATGCCCTTTATAAGAATTAAACTGTGTTAACAGCAAATATATATACATTTTGTATGTATTTTCCATGTTAACTTGTTGAAAGGAATTTAAATTTAAGGTTACTGGTGTGATTTAACTATTAGGCTAGTGGTAATAGTGATAATAAAGACCAGTTACAGCACCAGTATAGAGCTAGACCTATATCTACACATCATTGTCTGTAACTTTTTTCAGGTGGCATGACAATATGTAATGTAACAATGTAGAGTTAACTGTTGTTTTCAGTTACAATTTATTTAGTTATTATAAATTATCAATTTAATTTTGAATTACACAGTCTATGATCTTTGATATAATTTTCTAAATGCCATTCATGGAACCTAAGTTTTGCAATGATCTTGTATGAACTGTTATAATTATTATAAATGACTCAAAACTATTTTATTCTATGTTTTTTGTTGTTCAGAAGCACAATATTGTATACCATTTTTCAGTATTCAGTCAAAATCAGAATGATTACCTTTCAAAAAACGTCCAGTAACTTTCTTACTTTCAAGTTAACTTATAACAACAATGATCAGAGTAACAAATGTCAACTGCAACATTATTTAAAAGTCAAAATAACATCTGAGATGCTGAGTGATAATGTAAGATGTTACTGTTGAACTTATTTATTAAAGGAGAATTGTCAAATAAGCTTTATGCATTAAGATAATCATTATTAAGCCTGCTTTCTTGCACATAAAAATCAGTAGCAGCATCATGATTGGGGAATCTTGGTTGTGATCCATATATGGCTCAAACCCATAATCTCTAGGCTGAATGATAAACTCAATAACTAAAAATGGATGACTCCCTTTCAAAATATAATACATGCTATGCTTTGTTGAGATTGAAATCTATTTCCACAGTTCTTCCTTGTAGAATAATATTGAAAAATATAGTTGCGTTGGCCCTATATTTTAAACATATTTTTTATGCCCATGCAGTTTTAGCTTAACTGTATACTACTAGACGCTGTTATATTCATTAAAGTGTTTTAAGTGAAATGTTTTGACTTTTAGCCAAAATTGTGCCAAAGTACTGCCAGTTATGGAAACTTGATTAATATGCAATTGCTGCCTTTTACTGGGAGCTCTTTACAATCGATAATAAAACATTTTTAGAAAATGATAGAAATATGCAGTATTCCTTCAATTTGTTTTATTGTAGCGGCATAGGTGGGAAATAGTTTTTATCTTTTTATACTTCACCAAAGATTATTAGCTTTAAAACACAATATAAGTTTATACCCTTTCAGCATACATTGTAATGTTCCCATATTTGCTTGGTAATATATCAAATTTTATCCCAAATGTAACATAGAAAGTATAAATCTTATATGAAATACTTGCAAAGTATAAATCTTGTATGAGATACTTGCATTTGTGAAGGTTTTAATGAATCTTTGTGATAAGAAATGTAGAATTTGTTGAAATGTCAAAATAAAGGTAAATAAATTACAGAAAATAATTCAATAATTACAGTAGCATATTACTCATGTAATATACTAGTAATACATGTTTATATTTAAGGAAGAAAAGTTAATTAATTAATTAATTTTCTTTGCATAGAGGGCAATAAGCTTGACAACTTGTATGATATTTTGGTTTTTTGAAGGCAATAAGTTCAATGAATGATCTTGTATTGAAATATTGTTTATGTTTTTACAGAGTGGCAGCATGGTCACACTTCAAGAATCTGAGGATGCTATTATTGCAGAGAAACTTCATGAAAATGAAGAAATGGTAAGTGAAAGTGTACATTTATGTACGTCAGTAAAATTGTTATCAAAACTTTGAAATTTTAAAGTGCTATAATACAGATGGATTTGACATTCTCATCTCACTACAGGTTGTTTGCTGCTCCTTTTGTAGTAAGTTTTGCTTAATTATATAATTCCTGTAACTTGACAATAAGATTATGTAAAAATGTGAAATTTCTGGCTCCAAAGTAGATTATTTAAGATTTTCATTTTTACCGGGACATAATTCATCTCCGGGACACCTCCGGAACAGACACATCTTTTCCGGGACAATCCCAGATGTACGGGACGTTATGGCATGTATGCCTGTAATGAGCAATTAATTTGACAGTTTCAAGTTAAAGGAATGATTAGTAGATTGTAACCATGTGGGTAAAGGATTGCATGGTTGATGGGCTAAAGAAGTCAATAACCTCATCCACTTGACCACAAGGTCGCTGAGTAGATATATACTTGTTGAATATAAAAGAAAAAATGTTTTATAGGTGATATTTTTCATGTTTAACAATGAATTTTTTAAAGTGGTAACAAGATTGTAAAATTAACTAAGATATATATTAGAAGAAAAGATTAGTTTGTTTAAAAGCATGATTTTATCATTTAGGCAAAACAACTCACACAGTCCTGGATGGGTAAATGGTCCTCAACTCAAGATATCATGAAGGTAATTGTAATTTTTCCAGAAAGATGTTATCAGATGAAATTTTGTGCAATATTTTAAACATATTGATCAGTCAATTGCCTTTGATTTATGCAAATTGCTAAAAAGTATTATCTGCTAATTTGAGAAAACACATTTTGAAAGATTTTAACATTAGTTCAACTCTTAATACTTACCAAGATAGAAATTAAGAAATTACTTAAGTTTTCATATCCCTGTAATATGATCATTTTCTCTCCAAAGATTGTGAAATAATTTCCCAAAACGTTTAAAACATCTACAAAACATACCGTAGTTATGATAAAATGAACCTATCATTATACAGTATACAGGTTTAGTCTTCGCAATTTTTGGTTATCATGTTGTTGAATGTACATTTTTCAGGAGTCGGACCTTAGTATACGAGGGTTACATAATCAGAGCAGTTCTATGGGCGTGATGATTGACTCACAGTTACCTTACTTGATTGGTATGGATGATGATGTGCTTAGTACAGGAATTGTTATCTTCCATTTGAAGGTACAGGGTTTACTACATTTGTATTAGCTCTTGTTGTATATGAAACAGCCATTTTTGGCTTTGCTTTTAAAGAATATGGAGAGTTATTGTCAAGCATTAGTGTCACACTTTGATTAAGTTTTTGCATGCAAAATGATATATCCGAAACTACTGAAGGGCATTGGTTGAAACTTCACACACTTGTATACTTCGATAATCTTACATGAAAGGCAAAGGTCCTATAACCCTGACTTACCTTTTTACAGAGTAATGCATCTTTTCTTACTGTCAAGCACTGGAAATAGTAGTGTAGGCTGTCTCAAGGACAGCTCTTGTCTTGTTGTATTAACCAATTTTCACATAATAAATATTTGTACATTGTATTAGCTAAAAGTTTTATGCTACTAGCCAGAAGTTGTTGTCTTGTAAGATGTAAAAGGACACATAATTATGAACTACATGTATATTTCCAGGAAGGAGATACTTTTATAGGTGGGGACGATGCTGATAAACCTCAAGATATAGGTAAACTAATGGCATTCAATTAACTGTTGAGCACCTGTCATTATTTATAATAATTATAAATTACTTTTTTATGAAAAATAAAACTGTTTAACTAATTGTTGATAATTGCACTCCATGAAGGTCAAAAAAATAAAATAACAGTAATTAAAATCTTCATTTCCTCTCATAAAACTTATGTATGTTTTCATACAGTTGTTTAATACCTTAATTCTTACTATCTGTCACCTTATTTTAAACTTGATCATGACACAATTTAACTGTTTGTGTCCAGTTTTAATGAAGAAGATTTTTTCCAATTTCTAGAATCAATGCTTTATTATTACTTTTATGTAGTATTTTATCATAATTCAGTATTACATGGACCAACAATACAGAAGGAGCACTGTGTTATCAGACACGTGAATGGAGAGGTATACCTACATCCATGTCCTGGATCTCTATGTGCCGTACAGGACATAGAGTGTACAGAACCTATAAAACTTTCTCAGGGTAGGTTTATATATTATATTTTGTACAAATATTCTGCAAAGTCCATTTAACACTTTACCTGCTGAATTTGTGTAATGGATTTTGCTCTGCTTTAAATTTGGAACAGTTCATTTACAGTTTAAGGGATTTCAATATCAGAATACAAAAAAAATCATATTCATCTAACATATAGACTTCCCAAACTTAAAGTTGTTTGTATGTAGTAATACAATAGTATGTATTTAATGAGGGTCCATCTGCATATGAAGGAGTAAGGACCCCTGACATGTCACCAGTCATGCTCTTAAAGTTTTATTTTGAAGCACAAACTGGGGTAATTGAAATCAAAACTGTCTATTGTTATCTTAAGACTTAACTGAATCAGTACTAATGGCATGAGCAAGTCAAAAGGAAGTAAAAAAAAGGATTAAACAAGAAATATTGTAATTTTTTTTTGCATTGAAAGTTACCTTACCTTACCAGTTATTGAACACTGCAATTAGATGATCTATTTTTCTGCTGTAACTTCCGTAAGTATATTATTTTGCTACACATATGAATGCTGATTATTACACAATGTGCAGTTTTCTCATCTATACAGGGCCAAAACATGGTTTCATAATTTATAATGTCAAGTCATGAAATATTCTCCTCAGTGTAGTAATTACTTTGTTTCAAATTATTACAGCTTGGATAAATGTATATACTGAGGTGATATAAAAGAGGTAATCAGTTACTAATTGATTGTATTGGTTTATTTTTCAGGTGATTATGTGATATTGGGAGGAAATCAAACCTTCCGATTCAACAATCCATCAGAAGCAGCTAAACTCAGGGAAAATAGAAGGGTATGTTATATAAAATTGATACAGTCAAACCTTTGTTATAGACCACCTCTGAATAAAGATAACCCTGCAGATAAAGGCCATTTTCTGATAACCCTTCTTTGATAACATGGAATGAAGTAACCTCCAAATAAAGAACACTTGTGTATAAAGACCATAATTTATATCTCCTTAAATGGCCTTTGTTCACAGTTTTGACTGTACAGCACAGAAATTATAATAGATTACAATAGAAAAAAAGGATAGAATACTAATTTCTTAAACAAATTTTTAGCATGTTATGAGTAAAGTACATGTATGGTTTATCAAGTACCAAGTTTTGACAAAAAAACAAAAGTGATTAAATGAATTATGAAAAGATTATCATGTTCAAGGAATAGAATGTTTTGTGAGCAAAATGATACTAAGGTCTGTTGTAACTAAGTGTACTAAGAGATAAATTATCCTCAGTTCTTCAATGAAGTCTTGATGTGTTGATAACAAAGTGTTATGGGGCGTCGGTGGCTGTTGACTTCAAACCACTTGCCCCTCACCACTGTGGGTTGAATCCTGACAGAGACTTTGGATTCTTTCATGCCAGGAAGCTATCCAGATAGCTTACGGAACATTGGTGGTCCTACTCAGGTGCTCGTGCATGCCTTAAATTATGCACGGAAGGGCACCTGAGGTCTTCCTCCACCGGTAAAGCTGGAACGCCGCCATATGACCTATACTGTTTCGGTGTGACGTAAACCCAATCAAACAAAGTGTTATCAAGTGTCATAATAGAAACCAAAGACATTAATATTCCTATGTGGAATAAACTTTTTATTAATATTATCATATTTTGTCATGCTTGCAGAGCCAGGGAAGTCTGAATGCTTTGAATACTTCCCATTTATCATTTGGTGGGTTGTCACGGGCCAGTAGTTACAGTTCTATAGGGGGAGACGATTCTTACTACCTTAGTCCTCCACAGCTTGGCAGGTCATATCCAAAGTAAGTTATGATTTACTATTTAATTGCTGCCTGCAGTGTATGACAGGCTGTCTACAGTGTATGACAGGCCTATGACACAAGTATAGAAATCAGGCCATCCTGGTCATCTCTACAATAGGTACAGTCTGGTTTGACTGTACTGTGTAAGCATTTTGATCTTTAAATTCCTTTAACAAACAATGAATAGATCCAATATCATTACGTACATGTTCTGTTATTCTGGTAGAAATCTAGTATAATTGTTAGTGTCTCACTCATCACATGCAAACTTTTCACACTGTGTTTTAAATAGATGTTAATTTCGTGCTACATGTAGATTCTTTCTGTCATATTACATGCTGTTGAAGTCTTGCAGTCAAGGACTATTCTGCTTTCACACCTCTTGTTCTTTTAATTACATTATTTATTAGAAAAGCCAGGTTATTAATAATCAAGTCTTTAGTGTTATTGTGTTATAGCTGAATTATTATGCATTTGAGCAGTTTTAAAGTACTCTATGCATTGATACTACTATAAAAAGCCAGCCAGAACTGTTTGTATAATTATATAGGACCATTTTAAGCTATAACTACATGTATTGAGCCATCATACACTTATAAAGGTCCTGAATTCTGAATAATTATGTCCTCACTTTTACTGTTTTTTGATCCCCCCCCCCTGATAGGGTTAGTGGAGGGGGGGGGGTCATATAGATTTGTCCTAGTTCATTTGTTCTGCTGTCCGTCTGTAGACTGGCAAAAACAGTGGAATGTGAGTGCATCTATGTCCTATGGACACATTTCTAGTTAAAGATCAAGAAAGCAATAAAATGATACTGAGAAAGAAAGTCATGAACTTATTCTAGTTCAAACAGTAATAAGTTGAAATGGAAAGTAACAAAGTTTTGTCAAATTTTAAATGAGGTATTAATGAAAGGGATACTTTTAAGGCTTTGAAAGATTGGTAAGTTTGTAATGTATGATATCAATTCTATTGTAAGATAGAAAAGTAGCATTTTCTTTATGAGTTTTTGTTTCAGTAGATCTTGAAATAGTTTGATTAAACTTTTACTCATTGTCACAAATAAAACAAGTGAAAAAACAAATATCATATGTATGTTATTTTCAGTGCTAAAAGACGCTATTCTGATGCAGTAATGTAAGGGTTCTTTATTTATCAGTGTATATACATTATAGTCATTGCATGGTTGATAGAGCTAGAGTCAAGTTTTCTTGTCTGTTTTCCCTCTGTTGTTATTTTTCATTCTTTCTATTCATATCTTTTGTCTGTTTGGATCTGTCTCTCTTTTCTGTCTATTACTCACCTTCACTCCATTTGTCTTTTATTAGATCTAAATGTTCAATAGAGTTGAAGTTCATATTCAAACTCCACCTCTACTGCTACTGTTATTCTCTTGAAACTTCATATATTTCTGACACATGTCAGTTGTAGGTCAATGGCTAAGATGCATAACTCTTTCATGGAGTTTTACTGCACTGTTTCCCTTTGAAGACTTGTAGACGTCTTGTCTTTATTTCCATTGATTGACTCAGAAATTGTTCCCCTGTATTCTTATCCTTTGTTTCACCTTTTGCTTCTTCAATTTCTGAGCTTATTTCTCCTTATGTTTTCTTTCATTCCACTTTTTGATATTTTATTCTTTTATGTATCAATTTGCCCGTGTCTGTTGCCTTATTCATTTATATTAAGTTTGTACAGAGATTAGTAATGAAACTCTGTCTGTGAATTATAATGCTTTGTAACTTACCAATTTTAGTTTAAGAGACTGCATTAAAAAGAAAGAAGTAGTCATAAGTACAATCATAAACAGAATCTATGAAATTCATGCTAACTGTTGTATGTAATAACTTAAATAACAGACTGGCCCTATCTACTCTTAACAGAAAGGGAATACATTGACCTAAGGTGACTGAATAGAATTTAACTTTAGCTTTTTTGCATGCTTAAAAAATGATAGAAAGAAAGGTCACTGATATATTGTATTTGTGTTTCTTCATTGGTGTAGACCAAAATCTAAATTTATTTGTCTTATAACTTCTTCTCTTATAAATTAATTTGTAATGATTTGAGTCTTTATAATCATATGTAAAGTAAATTGCAGTTATTTTTCTCATATCCCAAAGAAAAAACATGCTTGTTTCATGTTTTCAACTTTTTTATGTTTTGCACATATTGTATGCATGTTATTGCACATTGCAAAAAACCACCAATGTTATTAATATTGGAAAAAGAGATTTGCATATTTCTGCAAAAATGGGAAAACTTTACTAAATTTTCTTTGCTTTAAAGGATACCAAAAGCAAACTTATTTTCCTTTTTACCTTGAACCTGCTTTATTGCTATGTAATCTGCCTTTGTTTCCTTTTGATAATTAAATGTTTAAGTTCTGTTTTGATCTTTTTTCTCTCACTGTTGTTCAGTACAGCATAATTTCCCCATTTTCAATTTCTTCCATACTATATCTGGCATATTGGTATTTTTTCGTATTGCTGATTTTTACTGCATTACAAGTTTCTTCGACACATGAAACAATGTTTATGTTATTTTTGTACACTTTGATTGTTATTTTAAGTCTTTTCATCATGCCATTAAAAAAAGACAAAAAAAGCCAAACCAACAAAACAAAGACAAAAAAAAGAAAAAAAAGACAAAAAAAAAGACAAAAAAAAAAAGAAACACCAAACAACATTGGTATTATCAACAGGCACTTTATTACTTTAATGAAAAAGTAAAAGAAAATGTTTCAAACATTAAGTATTTTACTTTAAAACCAGTGTTTCAAACAAAATAATTATATAGTTATAAATTTTGCATGGAAGATAAATATTTTGGGCTTTCATCTCATGTTACCAATATTTAATAACAAGGAATAAACAGGCCTGTTGATTTATGTCAATTGCGAGGGTTTTTTTTTATACCAAATGTGTCCCTTGCATGCACAACTTTCCTGGAGCTTTATCAGTATTTATCCTCAAGTTTTAGTTTTCATGTTTGCTCCCTGAGAAATATAAATATATAAAGTCTCATTAGAAACTTAGTTTTTTGTAAGAGTGCTGTGAAATATTTAAATAAATGTTGAATATGTATAATATAGATATATAGTTTCTCTAGTGTGTTTTATCCTTGAATGTATTTTGTGCATTTTTATGCATTTTGATTATGTGGTTCAAGACACATAAGTCCAGAATTCTTACATTTTCCTTCCAACAGTTTCTAACATTATTTCAAATTGGTAAACAGAATTTTTATGATAATTCTGTCAGTAATTCTGCTATTTTGAATATAGAAAATATTATTTACCATAAAAAAGGGATAGAAAATATTCCAATATGTTGATTGGATTTTTATGCAAAATTATACATTGTAGTGAAAAAAGGAAGGCTTGAACATTGTAACTTGACTCATTTTGTCTTGAACTGAAAACATAATGATGCATGATTGATTGTTTGATTGATTTGTTTGATTGATTTGTTGATTGAATGTATTGTAAGATAAGAAATTTTGTATTGTTATGACAGTTATGCAGCCCCTGATCTGTGGTGAGTACCAAGCATGTGGCAGTCTTTGGCTTCACTAACATCTTCCTATCTCAACTACTGCATGTCTCTAACTTTCATTGGTTTTTGACTTTTGTCATGTTTTGTGGGGTTTTTTTTACAGCTTAAATTATCCAGCTTTTAGTTTTGTTGGTTTTGGCATTTGATTTACTAATTTAATGTTCTTCAGATTATATCTAAAATCATATATAATATATATGATTTTAGATACAATGTTAAAATGGATTTGAGTTTACCAAACAAGTTGACATGGTTGGTTAGAACAATAACAACTAACATTAAATCTGTCCATTCTGTTCTTTTTATTTGAATTAATTTCATTTATTTTATCTTATTTATTTCCATTTTCCACACATCACTTTTGTTTTGTTTTTTGCATTCAAATCACAAAGGGACTCTTCTTTGTGCACCTTGGATAATTGATTTTTGCATACTTCTTTTTTATTTGAATTTCTTAGCATTTAATTTAATCCAAATCATTAATTATTTATTGTTAGATTATTTTTTTTAAATTTTAAATTTTTTATGAAAGTTTATAGTAAGTAGTTATTTTTCTTCTGCAGCACATCCATAAGGTCTGACCTAGGACTTCATGCTTTTAGCAGTTTAATTTTAACATTTTATTATTTTCATCCATTATTAATTTACAGTGTTCTTTTTAAAGTGGATTGGTCTACAATGGGCACATTTTCCATAAGTATTTCACATATTGATAAAAACAATAGAAATTTATCATTTGGTATTCTTATAAACATTGCTCAAATAAAAAATGTTGATAAAGTTCTAAATGGTTTAGGAACATGTGTATGATGAATAATATTTGATTATAGAAGACTTTATTATCTGCTATATAAATATAATTATGTACTAATGGATCATGTATCTTATACTGGCCAACAACATCCATCTATAATTCTTGAATGGTTTGTTGTTATGTTTGATACTAAATATGTATTAACATAAGTATTTATTGTATTGCAGACCTGTCATTATAGACCAATTCACTTTAAAGTAAAAGTGTCCATAGCACACAATTATAAGGAAAAAAGGTTAAAAATAAGAATTTCACACTGCAAAATTCTGAAGGATGTTTTTTGTTATTATACTCCAGTCATTAATCTTTATCTAAAATTTGATAATTAATTGTGAATTTTCTTGCAGAATGTAATTTTGATATTTCTTTTTTGTCTTAATTTACTGTAAGATAAAAGACTATGTCTGGGGGTTTGGCATTTGCTTTTAGTGCTCCTTATATCAAAACAAGAAAGTGCAGTATTAACTTGCTAAGGTGTTGTGGTGGGATAACTATATATATCTAACATGGCTATGTAATATATTTGTTGTTAATGTATGAAAAACCATGATGTCTCAGTTTAACTGAACAGAAGATATCACTGTGTAAGTTTCTTATTTTTTAGCTCACCTGAGCTAGCTTAGGGTTGAGCTTTTAGGATCGTTGAATGTCCGTCGTCAGTCATCTGTTGTCCATCCACACTTGTTCGTTTACACTCTAGCGGTCACATTTTTGCCTCAAACATCATCAAACTTTGTCAGGATGCTTGTCTAGGTAATAGCTCGGATGAGTTCGAACATGGGTCAAAAAACTAGGTCACAGGAGCTAAAAATAGAAAAATCTTGTTAACCCTCAAGTGGCTACTGTTTTGATCCAAATTTCCTGGAAAATGGTCTGAAAGTATGTTTTATTGATTCCTAGGTCAAGTTCGAATATGGGTCACCTGTGTTAAAAAACTAGGACACACCGCCCAAATATGGAAAAGCCTTGTTAACACTCTAGTGGTCACATTTTTGACTCAATTATCATCAAACTTGGTCAGGATGCTTGTCTAGGTAATTGCTCGGATGAGTTCGAACATGGGTCATCTCGGATGCAAAACTAGGTCACAGGAGCTAAAAATAGAAAAAATCTTGTAATTTAAAAAAATTTAGGTAATTGTTCGGATGAGTTCGAACATGGGTCAGGTGAGCGATCTAGGGCCATCTTGGCCCTCTTGTTTTGCTTTTTTTCCCTCCAAAGTCATAGCCATTTATATAATGATTAATATAAGCAATATACAATAAACATATACTCCTACCAATTACTTAATATTATTTGAGATGATTGCTAACATGGGTGAAGGTGGTATTTTGGATTAGATGTTTGCCTCTCAGCACACTGGTTCACCATCTTAGCTCAATAGGGAGAGCAGAAAATTTGCAATACATTGATCACTGGTTCAATCATTGGGCGAGGTGAAATTTCTCTGTGGCAATTGATCTGGGACATTGAGTCTAATGATCATTTGTCTCTCACAGATTATTATGGGATAAGTATATAGTAGGTTATTTGTGGAGAAATTGGTAATAACTGGTTAGTTATTCAGGAATTTTAGTCAGTAAAGGTGAACTGGCAATTTCTGGTTAGTTATCCAGGAATGTTGGTAAAGGTGAACTGACTGTTGAGATTTCTGATTATGACCAAAGATGTGTTTAAAAATTGGTACTGGGTTTTCGAGGGAGAAGATTGTACACCCTAAATTAGTTTTATGCTTCCATTATCTTAACTGTATATATAAAAGTGACTTAAAAAGTTCAGGAAAAAAGAAAGAGGAGATATTTCAAACAAATGTATAATTATATTGCCTTTTTTACATGTAAAAGTAAAGAAATAAAGTACAAAATGTATATACATGTATTATATAACTGTCTTTTAAACTTTAAAAAATACATTTACAGTTATGACTTTCAAAGTTGCCCTAGAAGTTTAGTATGCTTAAATATTCATATGTACATTGTATCTTGTAAAATATTAAAATTTTGTTTTCCTTTGTATTGTTTAGTTCATATACATTGTAATTTTAATAACAAAACAATCAATTGTTCAATAGAGGCTGACATTTGATAACAACATTGTTATTCTAGTCCTTAAATACTTCATTCATTTAGTTGAACTATTGTTTTACTGTAGAAAAATGTTGCTGTTGCAGAAATGAAGCAATATGTTTCCAAATAAAGAAAAGTGCCAAATCTTTTTTAAAGCAGCATGCCTCCAGATTTAGGCTCATTTACATAAAAATTTTGAAATATGTATTTGAAAGTGAAATTTTGTGAAGTGAACAAAGAAAGTATCGTACATTACAAATAGCACATGCAATCCATGTAAATTACAAAAAAGAGGTCATAATATGCTAAAATACTAAACCTACTACTTTAGTTATGCATTAGAAATATGGTGATAAATACTGCGAAATTAGTCATAAATCATTCATATTGAATGACCATATTGAATCTTTTTACTTTTCTTAAAAACTGAATACATTTTCAAATGTTTGATTTTCTTGAACTATTTTGGCTCATCTGGAGGCATACAGATTTAATAGAAAAGTGAGATATATTCAACTGAAGAAAATATTTGATCATGTTTTACCATATTTTATTTGATAAAAAGTTTATTATTTGTTTATAAGAAATTGTTATGCACTAGATACTACATGTCTGTTGATGTTATTTCAGTCGAGATTTAGAGAGACGTTACCAGACAGAGCAGGAGAGAATTGCAGAAGCCAGGTAATAATGATATGTTTTTATATTTTTTTACCAACTGAAGTGGCTGGTGTTGATAAACACTTGTCTACAACCAAACCAGCCTGCATGTCCATGCAGTGTGATCTGGCTTTACACTTTACCTTCACCTTCTGAAACTGAAATGATTAACCTTTGCCTACAGTACAGAGCATGGTCACAGTCAGCTGACTAAATTTTGATTTTCTCAAAATTGATTATGTGACCAGTTTCAAAAATGTAAGTTGGAAAATCCCAGTTAAAAATTCAGCAGGTTAAAGCTTAAATGATATAGAAACTCTTTAAATAAACTATGAACCACAGTCAAAGAAGCACAAGTCCTTTATAGAAATTTAAAATGAAATTACAAAGATTATTTATCCTTAGTTCTGTCTGAGTAGGAAGAGCTTAAGTTCTAAAAGATCTGGTTTGAGACATCCACTCCCTGCCTGCTTGAGGTAACCCTCAATCCTAGCAATGATATTAAATGGCAATATTGACTTGCCTAGGCTATGGCACCAAACAGACCTGGCTTGCACAATTGACAATAGACAGAGGTAGTCGATCAATAGTGGGTGAGGGGACAAATTCTCACTGTTAAAAGATACCAACTATGAAATAGTTTAAGGTCATGCCATAGTAAGATGATCATATTGTAACAACCACTAACACCACACCCAAACAAACAAACAAACAAACAAACAATTTGCATTTTTCGGCCATACTGAAAGCAGTCATATTTTACTTCACATTTTAACCTAATCAATTATTTGTTAGAAGGAGATGATTGTGTAAACAAAGGGTGTAATCATTTGTCTCTTTTATCATTATATTGGATTTAAATGTCTTATTTGTTTACTTTATAGATACTATGTACTTGAGGGACTTTAAGGCCTTCAAGAGTTGTAAATCAATATGTTTATCATTACCCTACAATCTTTGTAACACAATATAAATGCTGTCTTTTAATACTTTACCATAATAGGTGCAAAATTAACCAAAATTTTGTCATTTTCAAATGTCTAATGTTTGCCCTGTTTTTGGAATTATTTTGTTACATTAATCCAGCCTATTTTCTGCTTAATTTCCTCACTGAAATTAAAATTATGAATCACATTGAAATTAGTTCATATTCCAAGACAGACAGACAGATAGACAGACAGACAGACAGTTATAGACAGACAGTTATAGACAGACAGTTGTCAGACGTTGCTGACATCAAATTGGTAATATACATGTATATTGTCCATCCGCTTTGTTGGTTCGAATCCCACATATGACTTTTAAATCCTTTATATGTTACTAGAGAAATCATCTGGCCTGATTACAAGAGGTGAGTTGTTATATTCAAGTACCTATAATCTATACCTGAAATAGTGCTTATGATGCATTTTGAATTTGTTTCTATTTTAAATGCTAAAATCTGCCATTTCCTCCACAGTGTGTGCAGTGTGACATTATACCTAATCAGAAAAAAGTTAAAAGATATAATGACAAAAATTGGTGAAAGTTATTTATTATGTGATACTTCACTTGAGGAAATACATTTATATTCAGATATTTGTGAAACATAATGTGAAACATAATGTTTAGGTCTAAATTATTTGCATATTGCTTGCTTGCTTGCATGTATGCATTTATAAATAAATCATATTGTGGGGGCATTTAGTTGGATCAATATGGCAGTTGAAAATTCATGATATTTTAACATTCGTACAGGAAAATGAACTTTTAAACAAAATATGTGATGACAATGGAGGAAATATACATGTACTATTAAACCAATATGAAGAATAAATCTGCAATAAAATATCTAGTACCTGGTACACTGATAACATATTTTCTATAGCGATTAATGGTCATTTGGGAGTATTTAAAGAATTAGCAAAAGAGATTGCAAATAAGTTTTTATCTGTCAGTTTCGGAAAATTTATGGTATGGATTAGATAAACTGAAGATGTTATATCTGCGGTAAGCAGTTTGATTTAAAATCGTTACTATTTTAGGAAAATTGTTTCTGTCCGAATGATTTATATTTTGTTAGTTTTTGGGTTATCTGTTATTTGATTATGAGTATTTTAGAATTTTGTATAAGTCATTGTATTAATTTATTACAGGTATATATATATCTTGATTTCTAGGGGAGTATTTTTTTAAAAATGCACTTTTTAGTGTTTTGAGTGACAACCAAAGTATTTATTGTCTTAATATGTTTTATATTTGTTGAGCACTTTAGAGTTTAAAGGTTAAAATATAATGGTTAGATCAGTTTTCTGTGAATTTTCTTTAGCTTTGATTTGTCCAAACTTCACAGAAAGGTGCCAGTTTGGTTGTCAACATTAACATTCCTTCACTGTTCACCTGTTGGCACAGATTGTGGCTAGCCTTTGGCACCAGTAAAGAGCCAGGCAAACCTGTACATCTGTGTGTTCTAACTGGGCTCTTATCATTTGGTATCTCCATTTACAAAAAGTCAGCCTGTTACAGGTTGAAAAAAAGAGATGTTTTAATCCTGAACTGTGTCTCTGTATAATTTACTTATCTTTCTGTGTTTTATATAATTATGTAGAGAATATTGCAGGCCTTTGCCACCAATACACGAGACCTTGGGTTTGCCTGTACATCCAGGCTGCTCAATATAATTAAGCATTGCAGTATTAAAAACCCCTGTAGCCATTTATTTTGTCCAATCAGGCTATTGCAGTATTTAAAACCCCTGGTCCAATATAAGCATTGCAGTATTAAAAATCTCTTATGCTTATGATAGGCAAATCCATATTCGAAGTAGATGAGTTCATTTCAAATGTTGATGTAGGACAATATTGAAGGCATCTCACCAACTTTTTATAAAAAGTCAAAGTATGAATTACATTTATCAGATAGAAAAGGTGAAACCAAGTTAAATTGGCAAAACTTTCTGACATTTTTCAAATATGTGTGATATGACACGTAAAATTTCTTGACTGATTTTTTTCTTATCATGAAGTGTAATATTTTGTCATTGAGAGGAGATCAATATAACCCTCTTGACCTTATAATGAAAGTTATTTATGATACCTAGTTGTTACATTACAAATATAGTACCTGATATTTAGTGTTTACTTGCTAAGCTTACGTTATTGTGGACTATTTTGTTGACTTTAGCACTGCCCTTAACTTTATTACGATGTTATAAAGTTGAAAGGTATCTATGTATAGTCTTTGATACCTATGGGGTTATACATGATTATACCATTTATATCTTTAATGAAATTTATACAAGTTTTCAAAGATGCATAATGTGGCAATTTCTTGGTGGTTAAAGGCCCATTATACCTGAGAAATGCTTACGGCCAATTACTTGAACAATCTGTTACTTCTGTTGCTTTTTAGCTCGACTTTTCTATGAAAAGGGGAGCTATCCTACTCGCCCCGGCGTCGGCGTCGGCGTCACACCTTGGTTAAGTTTTTCGTACCACCCCACTTTATTTCAGAAGTATTACAAGTATGGCTTTGAAACTTACCATACTTGTTCACCATCATAACCTCCATCTACAGACAAGAGTACATAACTCTGTCAAGGTTTTTGACAGAATTATGGCCCTTTTTTGACTTAGAAAGTGTATTGAGCTTGGTTAAGTTTTTTGTACCACCTCACTTTATTTCAAAACCATTGGAGTATTGCTTTGAAACTGACCATACTTGTTTACCATCACGACCTTCATCAACAGACAAGAGGACATAACTCTGTCAAGGTTTTTGACAGAATTATGCCCCTTTTTGACTTAGAAAATACATTGAATATGGGTAAAATCCACTTATTGCCTTAACCCTTTGAGATATTGCTTTGAAACTTTTAATGCTATTTCACATCATTACCCCATCTGTACGCAAGAGAAGGTAACTCTGTCAAGGATTTGTTTTAAAATTAAGGCCTTTTATCGACTTAGAATCTTGGTTAAGTTTTTAGTACCAGTCCACTTTTGACTGAACTGTTTGAGATATTAATTTGAAAGTTGGGAATACTTGTTTACAATCATGATTCCCAAACATGTCCAGGAGAAGGTAATTCTGTCAAAGATTTTATTTGAATTATGGCCCTTAACTGTCAATGTTTTGTATTATAGGCAAGCACTAAAAAACTTAAAAAATCTAAAAAAATTCATTCCTATCCACTTGTTCACTTTACCATAAATTATGTCATAATAAAATAATTCTTCACTAAATATCTTAATGCTCATGGCCATTGTTCACTTTAAAAATACAGAGATTCTTGTATTGCCTTTTACTGCAAAAACTTTTTTTATTGGCAAGCAATAAAAAAGTCGAGCGCGCTGTCTTACGGACAGCTCTTGTTGGCAATAAGTTTTCATACCATTTAATGAAAATATAATCCTGCATTTGAAAATAAAATCCTGCATTTAAGAAAAAACTTCCTCTATGAATTTTATGATTAAGGAGGCCATACAGGTTCAGAAACATTGTGTATTATGAAGGTAGCAAGCTGCTAATAAATCCTGCTAGTTTATGGGAGGTTTGTGGTTATATCATGGTATGAAATATGGATGGTTACCTTGGTTTGTCCCTAGATGTATGTCATGTAATCAATATAAAGTAGAATAAATAGAATTAAAATCCAAAGAAATGAAAATAAATTTAGAATCATGTTAAATATAATTTTGTTGGAATTTGTATACATGTACTTTGTAAATGTATTTGGATCAATTTAGCTTTAATAATAAAACTATGGAAAATAACAAGATGATCTAAGGAAAATTGCATGTAAATGTTGCTTCATTATGAAAGCGCATTTTGTAATGCTTGTTTTGTTGTATTGAATTCTGTGCTAATGAAAAGCCTGAATAAAATGAAATATAAATATAATTAAAATCAATTTATTGATTTGTTTTTTACAGACCAGTATTTAGTTGAGATAAAACAAAACTTTTTTTACAGACCAGTATTTAGTTGAGATAAAACAAAACTATGTTTACACGAGATAATAGTTTTAAAAGTGCATTACATTT